TTTTTAACACAGATCTGCTGTTAGTTTGATATTTTGAGAGCGCTTTGACATCACTCTGATTAATCATTTGCACGCTGATACAGAGATGAATTTGTGCTCGTGAATAGATGGCAGATTCCGGTCCTTGGAGGTTTTTGTGTGGTGTGTTGCTTTTTATCAGCAGATGTGAAGATAAATCAGTGCTGCGGTAGCTGCAGTGACGGTTGTGGGACTTCCTTCCTCCCTCAGTTCATCCTCTTGGCCCTGTGGTCTTCATGTGCCTCTGATTCCTCTGACTGTGTTTATCTTTCTCAACAGGTGGAGGACAGAGATTATCTTGAGAAGGTGAGAAATGCACTTTGTTTTTGACAGTTATGGAGAAGACTGAATGCTATTGTTACAATATGTTTGGATGTATTTTATGTAACAAATTTCTTTTTCGTTGTGTCAGGGATCTCGAGCAGCTTCAGCCTTAACAGCAGCCACGCTCACCTCATTAGGAGGGTCGTCTTCCCGGAGAGGAAGCGGAGAGACGGCTTTAACTGTAGACGCCGAGAGCTCCATACGAGAAATCAAGGTACAGTCCTGTAGACAGAGAGGATTGTGTTAATAGCAGGGATGCTTCAAAACAGTAGCTGGACATGTCCCAGTTGTTTATTTATTTATTTTTTTGATCGCTATTGTTCAAAGATAGTTTGATTAAAAGCAGAAAGACTCATGTCAGGATGAATCGTGTTTTCTTAGCGCAAAAGGCGATTAAATTTTTAAAAAACAACATAAAAAATAGCTTTTTTGCATTAAGCAATAAGCCAAATTTTTAAAACAAAGTTTTTATTTAAACTGTTTATTTAAACAGCCTCTGAAAAACATAACTCAGTTTCTCAGTCATAACAACCGGGCTGTTTTGTCAGTTTGTGCCATGTTTTTACTGTTCTCGTTGTCTTTGCGAAGCTGTCCTCTCACGGTGTTAACTGTTCACCAAACTCTCTGCTTCACCTTCACTGCTACTGTCACACTGTGCTTCTCTGCTCACCTCTGCTGCTGCTGCTGCTGCTGCACTCTTTACCAGGAGATTCACGAACTGAAGGATCAGATTCAGGAAGTGGAAGCCAAGTACACTCAGAACCTAAAAGAAGTCAAGGTATAAACCTGAGAGCCTCCCATACTGTTAACTAACTGGTTTGCCTCCCCTGACTTGAACTGGTTATTGTGGTTTTCTTTTTGCTTTTATGGCACACTGGGTTGAAATCCTTTCCTCTCAGGCTTCTGCTAATACAGATCAATAACTTGTGGAGAGAGTGTTCAATTCTTCCTCAATAAGTAGGAGTGAAAGGACAGTAATGAGCAGTCCTTTGATGTGGCTCAAATACATTGCATGCTGACTGACATCTGCATGTGGTCTTTCTTTCTTTTGATGTGTGCATGCATGTGCTTAATTTCATTTTCACTTACAGAAAGTACATCATTCACACTTTAATCTAAATTCATTAGTGCAGTTTTATTAACACCGTGCTGATTCATCAACCACAATCTCATGGAGTGTGACATAGTAAAATAAAAATAGTGTATATATAATGGTGCTAGCTGAACAGCACATGGTGGTGAAGAAGAACCGGGTTCAGGGTGTGCCAGCCACCTGCCGTTACCGGTTGGAGGGTGATGAGCTAGCAAATGTGATATTCCTCTATCCTTTGTCAATGCATCAGGATGCGCTAGCAGAAGTGGAGGAGAAGTATCGTAAGGCCATGGTGTCGAACGCTCAGCTGGACAATGAGAAAAACAACCTGATGTACCAGGTGGACACGCTCAAAGACTCACTCATGGAGCTGGAGGAGCTGCTAACTGAGTCACGCCGAGAGCACGAGGAGAAAGTCAAGGTACGACAGACTGTCTTTAAAACTGCCATTAATATAAAGTGAAGAAGCACAGTATGTCATTTTTATGTTGGATCATAAAAAATTATTTATTCAGTACATTAGCGTGTCTTGGCTCGTGTGGCATCTCCTGTCAAAGCCAATAAATTCTGTTTAGAGTATCAGCTGGCCTCCACAACGTCATAGCCATCTTTACTGAAGATCTCTTTAGTCTGCAGAGAACTACAACGTCACAAAATTAAGGATGTCAGCTGAAAATCTAGAACCAAAGCTTGCCGCAGTTTGAATGTTTTAGTTTCCCCAAAGCAGACATGTCTGAAAATAGACACGCAGAGAATCACTGCAAAAAAAGTAGACTGCATATCCAAAAAATATCTACATAGCTTCCACGTCTGGAAAGTGAATCAGTGCAAATCCCAAGTACAGGCACAGGGGCAATGTTCCCTCTAATGTTTCATGTGTCTGAACACACAAACTCCCTGAGCGTCCCTTAGACCACTGTGAGCAACAGCAGACGTGTGCACTGTGGTCACGCCAGCATCGAATCATCCAAGTTACATGTTTATTAAAATAATCAAATTACAGCATTTATGTCAGACTACTTTTAATTAACTGCTTTAGCCCACTTACAATGAAAATTAAAAAATCTCGTTCATGACCTGTGTAAGTTTGTTAACACTATTGGAAGTAAAAATATCTTCAACTCACAAACACAACTTTTTTTTCTTTTTTTTTTTTTAATAAAGCTCTGACTGTATTAGGAGTCTGTGGTCTGGGAGAGAGTCTGTATCTGTCTGTCTGCAAAATACAGTAAATAATGAGCAATGTTGGGCAATTACTTTTTTGAAGAAGTAACTATATAATTAACTGAGTTATGCAAACAACAAAGTTTTTTGCAGCTGTTTACCTAAAAATGCAGCCAAGGCGTTTTTTTTAAACAAACATTTCAAACTATTTACAGAACAATCAGCTGTTCTGCATCAAATCGGATGCCACACAAATTATTTGTGCCACAACAAAAAATCATTTCTGTCCACTATGAGATGAAGGAGAACAAGAGCCTGATACCTGCAGGCCTGACAGCAGGAGATGTGTCACTCCTGTAACACCTGTAACATTCAGCACAACTAAACACCATGTTTTGATTGGTCGACATGGTACATTTTTCGACCAATAGGAAAGGGTGGGGGGTTTTGTTTTTGCTCACAGGCGGAGAGTGATTTTGAGCGTTTTCCTTATAAAACACTGTTTTTACTGTTTCTTCCCGCAGTAAATATAAACAACGACAGTATTCAGGAAGAAAACCAAACATTACGTATTTTTTTTATCATAACGCTGGTTTTACGTGGCCGATCAACACGATTTAAAAACTGGAATAAAGTCCACACTTTGTCTGTCAAATGTTCCGTCTGTCTTGCTCACATCTCCAAAGGTTGTACACGTTGTCATTAACGTGGCTTCACTCCACATCAGCTGCTTTGCTAAAACGCCGGTGTCAGCACATAAGGACGCTGTCATAGCCTGTCAACGACGTTGATTAGCTGCGTATATACGAATGTGAATCACGTGATTGGCTGGACTATGGGATAAGGTGGCATCGTTCTGATCCCATACTGGAGCAGCCAGTCACTGACTAACACTGCCAAACAGAATTGTTAACAATTTACTTAAATTTCGATTCAGGTTAGATTTTTTCTGTGCAGAGACCGTGCCAGCAGTGCGCAATTGTGCACGAGCGCAGCTTAGAGGGAACATTGCACAAGGGGACATCTGTTATCTAAAGTCTATGTATCAAACAAGGCTCTGACATCCTAACTTCTAATAAGAAGCAGTACAAAGGTTTCTCCTGGACAACCCAGCATCTAACAAGCTTCATATAACCCTTATGCACCGAGTGTTTTAAAGAGGTTTGAAACAGAAGTGAGGCTGTACAGTCAGACAAGGAAATCATAACTGAGCTTCATTGCTTTTTATTACACCAAAGCAGAGCTGATAAGGTTGCATTAGGACATATGAGACATGTGTATTGTCAGCTCATTAAATCAGTATTGGTATAATACTAAAAAAGTAATAAAGGTGTTGAAATTCCCAAAAGCAGCTGTGCTGTAATGTTTTTGTGCCCTCTGTCAGTTATTTGGCTGTTAAACTAAATCTTGCTCCCTACAGGAATACGAGCGAGAGAAGTATGCCCACAGCGTGCTTCAGTTCCAGTTCAATGAAATGAAAGAGACGCTAAAGCAAAGTGAAGAGCTCCTAAACGTGAGTATCACCCACTCACTATGAGTGTGAAGCGTTTTGCAGATTTCCATATTTAAAAAAAAAAAAAGTCTTAGTCACACAGAGAGGCAGCGTGTTGGGGTGCTTTTCACAGCTTTTCCTTCTTTTCCCGCACAGTTGATACCTGCTCTGCTTTACTTTCATTCTTTTACACCTTTGCTTTCCTTTTCCTGCTGTTTAGGAGATCCGTCAGCTGCGTTTGAAACAGGAGGGTTTTGTTAGAGAAATAACTGATCTGCAGGAGACGGTGGAGTGGAAGGATAAAAAAATTGGGGTATGGCCAATGAGCCAGCAGTTTTTCATTTAATCATATCCAGCTTACTGACATGAAATCAGTATCTTCTTTGCATCACCCTGAATGCCTGTTTTTACTTGTTTTCACTTCTTGCACACTTTTAACTTTGTTTTGCACTCTGCAACACTTTTGGGTGGGTGGCTCTGCTCAGGCCTTAGAGCGACAGAAAGAATATACAGATGCAATCCGAATTGAGCGCGATGAGCTCAGAGAAGAAGCCGTGAAGCTGAAAGATATTCTGAAGGTACTCAGTGTGTGGAGGAAAAAAAAAACCACTGTAAGCTTTAGTTGTTTGGGAATTGCTGTTCTGGTGCTTTCCGATGCTAACAATTTATTCTAACTGTGCAGAAACATGGAATAGTGTTGGGACCTGATCTGAGCATCAATGGGGATGTTGACGTGGCAGAAGCTGATGAGTCCTCCAGTGTAAACCCTGCTTCCCAACCAGCTCAGGAGTCACAGACGACCCCCGCAGAGGGGAACAGCATGCTCGGTAAAACCCACTATGGAATTAAAAACTTCCTTTCTTCTTACTGCATGGCTCGGCGTACAACTGATGCAAGAGTCTCATTCCAAAACAGTAGTAACGATGAAATAGAACATGTTTTTCTACTATTGGAGTTTCCTGTCAGATTTTGGAGTGAACTCTTCAATTCCCAGCTTCATGCGTCATATATCACTTAGACTCTGATTTGCACCGATCTGTTAAGGATAAGCTTGGTGATCCTCTGTATTTTTCTGGTAAAAAGGAAAAACTAGTTCACTAATCGAGCCTTCATCAGTTACTCACTGTCCAGAAGCGTTAATCCTTAAAAAGACTAAAACCATTAACCATCAATATATATTTTTATAACATAAATTTCCCTAAAATAAATTTCCATCGTTGTCCATTAACTATTTAAAACACGTTCATGTACCACACAGTTGTGTCAGAGTGCATGCTCCGTCTGTGGACGCTATAAAAGATGTGCACTGGTTTGACTGGAGCAAATATGAGAAATTTTATTTTAAGTTTAAGTTTGGCCTTTTTTTAAAATCTTTCACTAAAAAGAGGCATACTTCTTCAGGATACTGGAGCGCTAAGTCATCAGCTAACACTAGAAACTTAGCACAAAACATCACACAGAGGCCTGCTGTTTAGTGCCAAGTTGAATATTAGATGAAGTACTAGAATTTCAGTTATAAAAACTAGAGCACGAGCTTACTACTTAGATGGATTTTAAGACTCAGCAAGCCATATGAGTTTTATTTTTAGTGACCTGAATTAGCTGAGGTAAGCCCTAGCAGCTACAGCCGCATGCGTATGCGTCACCCTGTCGATGAGAGTGGCCACGCCCCTAATAATGCAAACTTTAAGCCTTAATCCAAGTTTAAGTTAGTTAATTTAAGAAATTCAGCCTTCATTCAGTTGTTATAAAGGGATAAATTAGTACCAGTCTGTAAACACATTTCTCTTCATCTGCAAAGTTTTGCACATTATCGGCTAAAGCGAAGTCAGACTGTAGTGGGAGACAGGCCGACATATTACTGAGAAGCAACTAGAAACATAACGAGAATCACCTCTAAGCTTTTCCTTTAAAATATCATCCACTAACAGAGTTGCTTTTTCTATATCATCTTCCATTACTAATGCTTGGCTTTCATGTAACTCTTGCACCTCAGTCACTTTCACCAGAAACACATAAGTGTTGAATCACGACTAACTTTGTTAATGCGGCTGGTGTTGGTGTGTAAATCCTGATGCATCCTACAGTGAGAGGGTTCTTAAAAGTCAACATCTGGTGTGTGTAGCGAAAATTCAGTTGGAGTACTCCCTTCTTCTTTTCTCTTACATACTCGGGATCTGCAGCCTTATTTTGATTTTCCTGCCTTTCTTCTTCTGCTTCTTTTTTTTTCTTCTGCTTCCTGGTCATCTTGGCGCTCTGCTTCTCTTTCTGGCCTTTGAATCAGCCAGATTTTCTGCCTTACCTTGACTTCTGCTGATGCGCTTCCTGATGAAGTGTTGAAAGTCTTGTCTTAAGCCTACACTTTTTTGGCCTTCCATCACCGTATGCTCTTCATGATCTCCCAGGCAACACAGAGGAGACTGAGTTGAGAAGTAGCAGAGAAGAGGAAGAAGTGGGTCCAGAGCAGCAACAAGAAATGCACGAGAAAGCCAAAGAGAATCATATGAGCTCTGATCTTCTCTGTAATGATGCTGATGTTTCCACACTGAAAACATCCAGTGAAGAACAGCCTCAAGAAGAACAAGAGACATGCTTACCTGCAGAGAAAAACAACACTGGAGAAAATGGTCTCAGTGAGGACTTAAATGCAGAAATCAGCGACTCTCCTGGTACAGAACCCAGTAGCTTTGAGCTGAAAGAGATTGTAACAAGTCCTGATGTTCCAGAAACAGAAATGTCTGAGGAGGCTAATTTAAAAGAGACGAGTAGTCTAAATGTAGTCGAGACAGATGCCAAAAGTGTTAGTGTTGACACCAGTGAGGTGCAAGACAGCAAACAGGAAGCTGTTGAGAAAAGTAGTTTGACAAGTACTGAATTATGTCCCCAACAAAAAGTTGCAGATGTTGCTCCAAAAGAAAATTTAACCGATGAATCCATTCCAACTGCTTCCAACATTGAAGTTCAACCTGAGCCTGAAAATGCAGAAGAGGCAGAGAACGATGAGGCAGAGGAAACGCCCAGTAAATCTCAGCCTCAGGGTACTCCTGCTTCAGGGAAAAAGAAGAAAAAGAAGAAGAGAGGCAAAAAGAAAGGAGGGGCTCAAGACGACAAGACCAAACAGAAAAATGAAACAGCGAATGAAAAGAAAAAAGACAAAGAACCAGCGGGAAGTAATGGTGGATCTGCTGCAGAACTTACTGTCGATGGCTCTGTCAAGATGGATCGAGTCAAGGAAGAGCAGGACAAGCAAGAAACTGAGGAAGTCAATGCAGTGGAGCCGATCGAATCCAGTAAATGTAAAGAACAAACTGTTTCAAATGAGTGCCATGAAGAAGAAACTTTGGAAACCAACACAGTAGAAGAAGCAGAAATGGTAGTAACTACTCAGGCCATTTGTGAAGCCCAAAAAGAAGTAACAGTGGATCATGTTAAGGATGAACCGAACCAGGAACAAACTTTAGAAACAAAGGCCACAGATACAGTAGAGGCAGAGGAACCTACTCAAAGTTTGTCTCATGCAGAAATTCTCGTGGAAACTGAAACAGACTCCAAAATTGATGATGAAGACACCAAACAAACTTTAGAAACCAACAAGATAGAAGAAATGGAAGAAGTATCACCTGCTGAAAACCCTTGTCAAACAGAAACTCTCAGCAAAGTAATAGTGGATGATGTTACAGAGGAACAGAATGAGGAACAAACTTTGGAAATAGAGACTGACAGGACAGTAGAGACGGAAGAACCCACTGAAAGTTCTTCTCATTTGGAAACCATCAAGGAATCAATAGAAACAGATTCCAAAGAGGGTGATCAAGAGGAGAAACCAACTTTGGAAGTAGAGACATTAGAAGAAGTGGAATCTGTGACCTGTATTGAAAACAGTGAAACTCCCAGTGAAACAATAGCAAATCACGTTACAGAAGAACAGAATGATGAAGAAACTTTGGAAACAGAGACTGTAGAATCAGTAGAGGCACTGAAAAGGGTTGAAACTCTTGAAGAATCCAGAACAGATTCTGAAAAAGATGAACGAGACCACAAGCAAACCTTTGAAACAGAGAAAGTACCAGAAATGGAAACGGCAGCAAATCCTGACGCAGAGGCCAACATCTGTACAGCCGAACTCAACTCCAACTCCAACAGTGCAGAAGGGACTGATGGCCTTGACAAAGAGTGTACGTCCAGTGTAGATGATCCTGAAAGGGTCGGTATCTCAACTGATGGTGATGTCATCCATACTGATCAAACAGAAGAGAAAGTAGAGTCTGCTGATGACAGGAAATCTGACAGCACATCTAACAACACTGAAAACAGCCATGAAACGAGCAGCAACACTGAAGGAGAATCACACGTTGCAACCAATGGTGACATTGCTGCCAATGAATCCGAGTCTACTTCTGAGAGTAAAGACGACACCTTCATCCTGCCACCGTCTGCTGATGACTCCCCTATTGGTGTCAAAGGTTCATCTGACATGGAGCCATCCGAAGTTATAAACTCGGGTACAGATGACCCTCCCACCGACGTTACCAGCGAGGTTCCCGAGGAGTCCGCTGATGGGGAGTCAAGAGCAGAGACTGAACAAGAATGTCCTCCTGCCATTGTCACATCTCCACATCAGGATGGTGATAATTCAGAAAACAAAAATCTGGAAGAACCCAAAGATTTAGTTAATCCAGATGAAAAAAGCAACAGTTGTGATGGTGCATCATCAACAGAAAGCCCTGAAGCCTTAAGCACTGAGACTGTAGTGCAGGACGAAGAACTAAAGGTCAGTGCTGCTGTCGTGTTAGATACACCACAGGCTCCAAAAGAAGCTACTGAAACTGGTTCTTCAGCTGATCTGGAATCGGCTGTCGTGGAAGATCCGCAACATAAAAACGATCAACATGAGGAAGCGTCATCCTTGTCAACTGAGCAACCGCATGCATCCAACAAAGACCAATCTGAAAATAATAATCAGTTGGAGAGTGAAGGGGAAGAGGATGAGGAAGATGAAGGGCAGTCTTTTGATTTTGATGACATGGATATCGAAGCAGCTGAAGAATCCACCAGTTCCCAAAATCCAGAGCAGGAAGAAGTTGATGAGGGAGTTGAATTAACAGCAGATGAAACCAACGATGAGCTGTGCCAAAGTAATGCCGAGTCAAATGAAAACAAGCCAGCTGAAGGCAATGATGGAGGCAACCAGGCAGATAAAGACCCAGATATGGTGCCTCAAGAAGACCAGAACTCTGTGGCTCATGAGGAACCTACCTCAGAAAAGGTGGAAAATGTGTGTGAAGAAGGGAAAAACACACATAAAGAAGAAGCTGGTGAAGAAGACCAGCCAGGCAAAGCTTCAGAGGAAGTCTCGAGCACTGGAGCGCTGGGAGCTGTTGCAGAGAACATTAACCAGACCGTGTCTTCATCAGTAGAGGCAGGGATAGACGTGGTCAAGAATGCATTGCAGGGTGAAGATGCGGATTTACCAAATAGTGCAGACGAAGCGGGCAGCAATAAAGGGGCAGCACAGTCAGGGAAGGAGTCAAAGAAGAGTGGAAAGAAAGGCAAAGGAAAGGGCAAAGAGGAATGTAAGATGTCGTAGTCTACAGATGTGCTTAACATGTCTTTACTATTATTTTACTGATGTTTAGAAAGCGGTTTAAACCTCAAAGCACTTTGATTCTTTCCAAATAAATATTGATGTAAGTTTGTATATTTTCTTAATCTCTTTTCATTGAGCTCATTTGTGCAAACAAACAAAACAATTTGTGGAAAGATGAAATTCTAAACTGTAAGGTAACTGTAGGTTTATACACATGGGCCATGATGCACTCGATATAACAGGTAACATTCATTCACATATTGATGCACATTTATTTTGCTGCTTGTACCATGTCACACATCTCTGATTATATTGCTCTCCAACGGTTCTGCTACAGCATCATTGCATCTTGGTGCAATTTCCATCATCTACTTATGTCATGAGTCCACAACAAAAATAAATAGTAATGGGTAATTGTTATTAAGACTTAAGCTAACAAGCTCGAATATGTTCTGTCCCTCATGTCAGTGTTTAAATGAGTTTAAAGCCATTTTTGCTTTCACGAACTCTGCACAGAACATGTATGTTAATGTTTCTTTTTTTATTGCACTAAATGGAAAACAACTTTGAAATGCTAATAAACACCCTGCTGTTACCTGTTTGAAATGTTGCTCTAAATAAATGTTTTTAATGACATTATTTTTAATTAGATATGTTCATTCTTCACATTTACACCTAAATATCATTTTTCTAGCTCATTGTGTGTTGTCATGCAGTGTGACTATAGTCCAGGAAGCTGTGTGCTCTTGCACTGACCCCTCCTCTCCACAGTTTGTGCATGCTAACATCCCCCCTCCCATCCCTCACACACCGCTCCATCACGCCCTCATTGGATGCCTGCTCTGTTGCATGCATCAACCCCAGCCCCCTCCCTATCATCTCTCCGGGTCCTCCCACCCCTGGTATGTGATCTTATTTTCCTTTTTAAGATGGAACAAAGTCGTTGTAATTATTAGACAGTTGCAAATATGCTGCGATTCTTTTTTCCTTTTTTTTTTTAACCTAAAATATGTGCTTTAATTCCAGAGATTCGCCTGAGGAAACTGGTGGATGAGCGTGAGAAAATGATAGAGCAGGTAAGCAGGTTTATATCATCTATCTGTCACATCTGTATGAATCTTACTTCTCCAGTTGCACCAGCGCCTCCGGTGACTTGTTTTAAATTCATCGTTTGTTTTGTACTTTTTAAAATTGTTTTTAAAAGATTTGACTGGTGAGTCTTTTGGTGTCTCTATTACAGGTAAAGAAACTAAAAGCCCAGCTGGAACAGAAAACGCAGAAGAACGGCACAGACAGCAGCCCAGACGCTGAAATTATTGAAAATGGAAACGATCCAAACATAATGGAATTACAGAGTAAGTCAAATAAATCAGAAACAGCCTGCTAGTTTTTAAGTTCGTGTCTGTGATTTAAAAAAAAAATAAAATTAAATCTTTTTAAATTCCTTCTAGGAGACTCCAACAGGCAGATGAGCGAGTTGAAGTTCAAACTCGTGAAGGCAGAGCAGGAAGCGACGGCGTTAGAACAAAATGTAAGCAGATAAAAAT